GCGGGGCGGGGGGGTTTGGCTGGCGAGGGCGGAGCAGACGTGAAGATGGCGCCTCTGCCGGCCAGATGGCTGAGGAGCAACTTCCCCTGAGAGGGGCGGGCGGAGGCTGGCCTTTGGCAGTGGGGCCGGGATATGCGACGGTGGCAGCTCCCTCTTCTCAGCAGGATTCTGATCTTGGCTAGCACCGGTGCTTCACGGCCTTCTCCTCTGCAGCAGCGGCTCCGCCTGCCCGGGTATAGTGTGTTGTGTGCGGGATTGTGGAGGTGTGGGGACCCCTCGCCTTTTTCGGTGGTGGGCCCTCTCCTGTTGTGTAAGAGGCTCTGGGGTGGTGTGTCGGAGCCCCCCCCCTCTTGTTGTGTATGTTTTAACAGGCTCCATATGACTTGGGAGCTCGTGAATCAGCATTAATGTGTCTGCCTGCTACTAAAGGGAGTGGCGGCGCAGGGGAGTCTCCGTGAGAGAGAATTAGGGAGGTAACGTCCTCCCCGAAATGTGTCTGCAGTGAGATTTATCGTGCTGCAGAGAGCGAAGAGAGGGTGGAACGTCCTGAGAGCACTCTACTCGTAGGTTTGGGAGTGCTGGAAAAAGGTGGCTGACTAGCTAAATGTGTGAACACATCACTTCTCTGCTCGTGTCTGCTGAGTGCTGGGGTAGACTTGGGTACTTTCAGGAAGCTGGTAATATACCTTGTATTGTTGAACTCTTCATGAAGGCTTTAGTACTGCAGCACACCATGTTGCAATACATACATAAACGCATTTTTGCCTGTGTGTGTGATTTATTTTATTCCAAATAACTTAACATTTAGAAAATTTGACATTTAGTAGGGCTGGAGTGTGTAAGTATTTCTTGTACAGAGAACTTACTCTTATTTTAAAAATCGAGGTTCAGAGCACACTGTGAGCTATTATGGTTTAACATTGTTTTCCCCAAACCAATTGTGTTTTGCTAAATTGTAATATTTGTTTCATAACTTATTACATCTATCTGCAGAATAAACAGGATGTACATTTCAACATAAACTAGTTTTTCAGTTGTCAATGTTAGTATTTATGGGATGGTTGATGGGAGGTGCTTCACTACATAATAAGATAATTGCTGGTCAGAATGGCATGGAATTAATTTTCATACTTCTGTGTGAGTTATCTAGTTTAGATAGCAAACTTTAAATACCTTTATTGAGAGAAAAGACTAGTAACTGGCCTATCTGGAAAGCAGGTTTTGTCTAAAGCCGGTGTTTTCCTTTAAACAGCATTGGGTGACTGATTGCTGTCATTGTGTCAGATTTTTAGGGACAAAGTTAATATTCATAGATATTTATGCAGTATCATAAGTGTATAGAGTACTCTATAAAGTACAGAAAATGATACTCTTTCCACAGAAGAGCTTATAGTTGAACACACATGAGAATGCACTTGAACTGTTGTTCCATGTTATGTACAAAAGATTAATAAAGGGAGAGAGGGAATTTAGGTAATGAGAAGTGGAAGATTGTTTCTGGAAGGTGTAGACCCGCAGTGGAAGGAGTAGGGGGAAATGAGAACAGATGCAATTTGAAGCAAGATTGTGCAAGTAAAGGAGAGGAGGCTGAATTTGATATATGGTACAAAACAGGAAGTCAAAGAATAGTTAGAGCATTAGATGCTCGGCAGGGCTTTAAAAATCCACTTGCCTACAGTGAGTAAGAAACACTTCCAGGCAACGTCTACAGAAAGTAAGGTTTTATTTGGGGTGGAAAAAAGTTCTAGTTGTCATAATTACAAATATAAGCTTAAAAGGAGTGGTCCTGTAGCACCTTAGAGACTAACAAAAAAAAAAAAGATAGTTTAAACATACATATTTTTGTTAGTCTCTAAGGTGCTACAGGACCACTCTTTTTTAAGCTTTTTTTTTTTTTTTTTAAAGTTACAGACTAACACAGCTACTCCTCTGAGACTACCAAATATAGGTTAGTCCAGTGCTTTTTTGACTTGTTTTAAATAACTCCAGTGCTTTTTCTGTAGTAGTTGAAAATTTACCAGATTCTTGTCACTTTTTACTTCTGTTGGGAACCAAGTGGGCAGCAATAAAAGGGACAAGAAGCAGGTCAGTTGTTTCTTTTGAAAGCTGAAAATAGTCTTTAGAGACTTTTCCTGAAGGAGAGGACCCATGTTACTAGTTTTACTGCAGGAGAGAGGGGTAGGAGAACAGAGTACTCCTTTCTAGTCCCCAAATGGTGCTTCAAATTTCAGACCACTACAAGTTCAGGACTACAAGGGTACATCTAGACTACATCCCTCTGTTGGCAGAGGGATGTAAATGAGACACTTTGAAAGCGCAAATGAAGTGGGGATTTAAATATCCCATGCTTCATTTGCATAATCGCGTCATGGCGCTCTTTCGAACAAGCGCCATTTCAAAAGTAAAACTGCGGTCTAGACTCCGGAATACAGGATCTTTTGAAAAAGCCGGCCATTTTTGAAAGAACCATATCTAGACCATGGTTTTACTTTCAAAATGCCGCTTGTTTGAAAGAACATCATGATGTGATTATGCAAATAAAGTGCAGGATATTTAAATCCCTGCTTCATTTGCACTTTCAGAGTGCCTCATTTACATCCCTCTGTCGAAAGAGGGAAGTAGTCTAGACACAACACAAAAGATGGAGCTCACAAATATGACTCAGGAACAGCATTCTACGAAAAATATCCAAGCACCTTCCCTTTTCCCAGTTTCAAGGATTGGGGATAGGAAGGAAACTTGATTTCTCACCTTAGACACCTTACTTTTTAGTCATCTGTCTATATAGAGCATTCTTAAAACTGAAAACCCACTGGAGGAAGTGGAAAAAACAGATCAGCAGAGCCAAAGGAGTACCCATACATGAACTACTCCAAGACAGGCCAAGAAGAGAAAGCAACAGAATTCCATTTGTCATCACTTATAGCCCACAACTTAAGCCCCTCCAACGCATTAGTAACCTACAACCTATCCTGGAAAATGACCCCTCACTCTTACAGGCCTTGGGGGAAAGGCCAATCCTCGCCTACAGACAGTCCCCTGATCTCAAATAAATTATTTCTGGTAACCACGCAACACACCTCCATCATAATCATCCAGGAACCCACCCCTGCAATCAGCCCCAGTGCCAACTCTGCCCACACCTATTCAAGTGATTTCATCACTGGACCCAACAGCATCAGTCATTACATCAGGGGCACATTTTACTGCACATCCACTAATGTGATCTGTGACATCAAATTCCAGCAATGCCCCATTGCCATGTATATTGGCCAAGCTGGATAGTCTCTACGGGAAAGAATTAATGGACACAAATCAGATATTCGAAAAGACAACACACAGAAACCTGTTGGAGAAAACTGTAACCTGCCTGGGCACTCATTAATGGATCTCCAAGTCACCATATTGTTTCAAGCCAATTCCACAAGCCAAATACATAGAGAATGGTTGGAACTTAACTTCATTTATAAGTTTGATTCTCATCAGAATGGACTGAACAGGGATATTGGCTGGCTTGCACGCTACTTTCCACATACTAATGACTTAACCAACCAACCAACCAATGGAGGTGCTAACTGTTCAATTTACAAGAGGCTGATAAGAACAATCTATTCACTATCTTTCTTTCTCCTTTTTTTCCCTCCTCCTTCCCCCACTTCCCTTATTTATTCTTGGATCTGGACTTTCAATACTGCAGTCGTGTGAAGAAATGGGTTGTGCCTACGAAAGCTATCAATACCATCTACATGATTTGTTCGTCTCGAAGGTGCTACTAGACTATTCGTTGCTTTTTAAGTTTTTCTAGTTGCAGACTAACTTGGCTACCCCTTTGAGGCTTTTGTCTATTAAAAGTTTACTACATTTGTTTCTAGCTGTTTATAAACAATTGGGTGGATAGGCTGAGAGAGTTTGGAGTAGGGATGTAAAAAGTAATTTAAAATGGTAACCTTCTTGCTGCTAAAAATCTTAGTGATTAAATGGTTACACTACAGTGTAGTCTCCCCATCTGAGCCCCACTTCCAGAAGTGAGTCTTTTTTGCTGAAGTGAAGCCAGCAGTTCGGCAGCCTCTGCTAGTCCCGCTCTTGGGGAACCACAGTAGTGGGTGGGGACTGGACCTGTAGTGGGAGGGACCAGGCTGGGTTAGTCCCATCGCAGATAGGGGCTGCTCTGGCCAGCCTGCCTGCGGCGGGTCTTGTAGGGCTGGACAGGCAAGAAGCTGCTCCAAGGTGGATGAGGAGCTGTGCTAGCCCCTACCAGTTAACAGGCTTACCTTCTACATTCCTAGTTTGGAGTGGGTTGGAAGATGGGTGTAGGTTTGCTGATCTGTGCTACAGAAAGGAGAAGTTGATCAGAGATTTGAGAAATGAGAGAGAAAATATGGTAGGAGTATCAAGAGAAAGAAGAAAAGGTATGTCATTATCTATTACAAGGAAGAAAAAAGAAATGGAGGGAAGCCAGAAACAAAGAAAAAGTACGTAAGTGCAAAAAACTAGCTGTAGCAAATTACTAATGCTCTTTTAGGCCCTAGTTTTATATATACATGCATGTGTTCAACTTTATGTATATGAGCAGTGCCATTGACTTAGGCAAGGCGAGAAAGAAGAAAAGGTATGTCATTATCTATTACAAGGAAGAAAAAAGAAATGGAGGGAAGCCAGAAACAAAGAAAAAGTACGTAAGTGCAAAAAACTAGCTGTAGCAAATTACTAATGCTCTTTTAGGCCCTAGTTTTATATATACATGCATGTGTTCAACTTTATGTATATGAGCAGTGCCATTGACTTAGGCAAGGCTCCTGCCAGGACAGAGGTCTTCCTGTGTCGAGTCCATTATACAATTAACCTGTAGGGGTAATAGACCAAAAATGAGAGCATGAATTAACACCTTCAAATTTAATTTTTTCTCCAGTTACCTCCCATTTAACAAAACAAAACAAACCTTCTCCTTCTTATGGATCCAAAATTACTACCTACAAGCCTTGCTCAGTTTCTCACTGACTTTACAACTCTCTCTCAATTGTCATCTAACCCTAAACCCAAACCTTTTATATATAGTTATTCCCTATCACATTAATCCCTCCATTAGACTTCCTCATTAGAGCCCTGCACAGATAGAAAATTTGTATTTTTATCTGCATCTGCAAAAATGAGCAATGGATATTCGCAGACTACCTCCTCCTGACCTTGCTCCCAGCACCGAAAACCTCTATGGAAGGGCAAATAAAGTCATTTA